AGCTTCCAAAGCATTTTTTGCTACATGTGTTTAAACTTGCGGCTGCTTTTTTCGAGGCGTCAAATGTTGAACCATAGATTGACGTGAGGCAATTAAGAAATCAACCTGAACACAGACACAGGACAAGCTGTAACCTGAAGCTGCTTAAATGGTTTCTTCTTGGTTAAAAGGTCCTTCAGATATGATGAAGTGATGCAGGCTTTGCTGACGGACAGATTTCCTCTGCATCACGTTTTAAAGCATCTGTTAGTTCAAGTTTCCTCTGGTTACTTTGGGGAGAAGTGAATGTGGAATCAAAAAAAGCAAGCTCTGGTCCACCTAAACGCCTCGGTCTCAGTTCAGTTGAGGTGACTGATGCAATTTGTATAACAGAACAGCAAGCAAACCAAAAGCAGAAAATGGACTACATTACAAGGTATGCTGGGTAAATGTAACCAAAACAAACACTACAGTAAAAAAAAAAAAACAATCAGCAACTACTCTTGAGGTTGAATGTTCCAATTAATGATTAATCGCTAAATTATTCAGTAAGTAATTGATTAATCATGATTAATTGATTAATTATTTCAGGCCTATTCCAAAACTTTTCACCCAGTTTGGTCAGGATTGGTCCCCTTGATGAGGGGCTTCCTAAAACACCTCTTTCATTCAGCTGAATCTGGTATGAAACCATCCGGTTCTCATTAGGAGGGGAAAGAGAGGACGAGGAAGAAGAGGAGGGCCAGTGTGGAAGAAATGAGGTCATCAGCCGCCCTGCCTCTGGAGTGAGACACGAGGAGGGGTCGGCTCGATGAAACGGAGACGTTCAACTCACAGCGTTACGGGAACGATAAGACAGGAAGTCATCAGGCTTTGTGAGTTTATCATGAATCACATCCTGCATTATTCACCTTTTATTCGCTGGCATGTCTTGGAGGAATTTCACTGGTAAGTGAAAATACCTCGGAAATGATACTTATTTCTGTTTGCAGACCGGAACCCACGTGGAAACTGTTCCATCATCGCAGCAGAGAGTCAATGTCTTCCAAACGCGAAAGGCTGTTCTGATTCACACTTTGAACCACCACACATGCTCTGGCTGACCTTTCATCCATCCCAGCAATGCTGTTGTTGGAGCAGCTCCACTCAGGCACCGGTCCAGGCACCGGTCCAGGCCGCAGTCCCGTCACAGCAGCTCTATCTATGGTCTCCATCTCCGTAGATGGCTTTCAGGCGACGTGACAGACATCGCTTCAGTTACTTTTACCAAGTAACAGCGAGGAATCAGGTGCCAAAACAGCAAAACTATCAAGTTTATATGAAACCGTGCCAGATATTGTCCAGATTGTCCAAAATATAGGTATTTAAAGGGAACATGTTGTGCAAAATTCAGATTTTCTATGTTTTTGTGCTTTCAGTTGGGTTTGTACTGCCTCTAAAAACAGCTCAAAAGCTTTAAAAAACAGAAACATCCAGTCATTTTGTAGCAATACAAAACATGGTAGACACCCACCATCGTGGTAGGAGTCTGAAGCCAACTGTCATGACAGATGCTATGGAGTTACTATGACAACAATAAACAAGCCACAAACTTAGAACGAGCTATCACTTCAATCATGGCAACATAATTATATTATGTTGTTTATAAGTTGTTTATAGTGCAACTACTACTTAATTACAGTTTTTGAGTACTCCATCTTTAAAGGTCTCAAAGCCTTGGATCATTTGTGCTTTGGCTGCGATTACCTACCAAGATGGCGGTTCAGTGGCACAGATCACTTCCGGGTCCGGCTTGTGGGATCTGTGTACAAGTTAATGTTTTTTGGTGTCTGGAAAATGAGTCCTTTCAAAAAAAAAAAAAAACCTGCAAAATGCAACACAAATTAGAAGGCCCTGCCCGTTACCTAGCAACCACAACGAAGCCCTGCCTGTTGCCTAGCAACCACAGCGAAGCCCTGCCCGTTGCCTAGCAACCACAGCGAAGCCCTGCCCGTTGCCTAGCAACCACAGCTGAGTTCCAGCATGTTTGGTTTTATTGCTGCACAATGGCTGCTGAAAAATTGTTATGTTGTCTATTTGCTATTCATAAACAACTTGCTGCATTCTTGTTGGATGTACACGAGGCTCTACTGATGCTTTTCCAAGATGTACAGCTGTATAACTGTGCAGCCGTTTCATTGTGAGTGTAAACGTTGATTTGGAGAGGTGTGGCCAGCAGCTTATTTGGATTTAAAGAGGCAAGATCCCTAAAACAGATTACAGAAAATACAAAACTGATCAGAATAAAATATTATTATCAATGAGCGATTTTACAAAACATAGAACATAGAGATGCCCTAACATATTCAAGGAAGCTTAACAGGTAATCTTTAAGTATTTATTCACAAAAATATCCAGTCAGCACCTCCAGCTCAGCAGACCCGGTGGGATTTATTTTCACTGCACTTTGAAAAATCAATACAGAAACAAAGACCAGGTCAATAACTGGAGAGAAACTCTTCTTTTGTGGTGAGTCAGCTTTTCTTTCATCCATATGTTCTCAATTGTTACGCCCTCTAATACCAGCTCCTTGAAGTCGGTCCGTTTACTCAGAGACGGAGTTTAAAACGGAGCATGAAGCGCCTGGCAGGCGGCTCCTCTGCTGATATTCTGTGACGGAGTCAACGGAGCGTCGACGCGGCCGCTTTGGGAAACTCCTCTGGGTTTATTTAACCTCCTGGCCCCGACCCGACCGTCACTCCGCCTGTCTGAAGCGCAGGCAGGCTGCTCTATATTCAGCTCATACCGAGAAAGGGCTTGGATCAGCAACAAACACAAAAATCAACAATCTGAGGTTGCCTTCGTAAGAAAAACTCAAAATCTGCAGAAAACTGGTTGCTGAGTTTTAGGTAGAATGTCTGTGTTAGATTGTTAAAATAAGAAAATCTAATTATTTTAAGAATTACGCACGCAGAGAGCTGAAAACCTTCCATGGACGACACACAAACACAGAAATGTGGCGTTTCCATCACGCCGGGTCGAGCAGCTCGAGTTTCTTTCAAAGGATCTCCGTGTCTCCATGTAATTTGTGGACAGTGTGAGCAATCCTGCCGCAAAGCAACTAATACTGAACTTTTCTTTTTGTTTTTTGTTTTTGTTCTTAGGTCCAGATGTGACTTTGCTTTTCAGTTCAAAGACATTTTAATGGAAAATATCCAAGAGTCTTTCAGACTGGAGTCCTGAGAAAAGAAAGAACATTTAAAGACAAAACGCAACAAAAACAAATTGCTGCACAGGAGAGCATATAAAAATAGAGCCTGAAGGAAGTTAGGAAGTAAAGCAGGAAGGAAGGAGGAACCAAAGGTTACAAGACAGAAAGTTAGGAGAAAGAAATACAAGAAACAGAAGAAGGAAGTTTTAGACAACGGATAACAAATAGAAAATGAAATCAGACGTTTTCAAAACTCAGATTTACTTTTCCAGACAGTATAGTGTCTGTCTTTACCTTAAATAAACACCTGGACACAAACACTGCAACACAGTCATGTGACTGTTTCAGATCAACATTTTAAATATCGACCAAATACTGAAAAGCATCAGAGTTCAGGGATTATCAGCAGGACAGATACTGGAAACAGAGTTCAACCAGTTCAACTCAAAACTGAACCAATCGTTTTCCAGTTTGAACAATAAAGAGACCCTCAATCTCAAACTGGCAGCCAAGATAAATGAAGTATTTTCCATTAAAATCTCAGAGAGCAGAGCTAATAAAGGTCACAGATAAGCCGATTTATCAATAAAAAAGAAACTGGTCTAATCTTATAAAAAGAAGGTGGAAAGGGAAGGAAAGAGTGAATGAGGGAGGAAGGGCATATGGGAAAACAATCAACAAGTCTGAGGACGAGCTGCCGCTTTTCCTGGCAGACATCACACTTTCTGAATCCGTATAAAAGCTGATAATTTAAGACATGACTGGGCTGCCGTGGCCTCAATCACAAAGCGAAAGCACCAGAAAGCTTCTGGATTTTATACTCTGAAGATTCCAGCGTGAGCTTATAAATGTGTCCCAGTGTGAAGAGCCAGACATTCCTTCCAGCCTTTAAAAAGCTCCAGAGGAATATCAGAGCCGAGCGAGTCACAGCTGCCAGGAGACCACCAGTCATGTTCAGAGGGGCAAACGCCCTCATGCATGTTTTATGTTCCTCCTCTCTGTCTTATCTGGTTCCAGATCGACGTCAGACCGGATCAATGGAGAGACGAGGAAGCTTCAAGGCTGACATCAAAATACATACAGCTTATATTCACTCCTCCTGGGTATCAATCTGGACTTTAACGTGGCCAAAATTACACCAGCAGACCCAAATATTTTACATATATTCACCTAAATCATATTATGTGGTGCTGAAGTTTTATTTTTTGTTTGTTTTCTTTAGTAGCTGATCGCTTATCCATGCTAGTGCAACAGGTTGATTTTGTCTCAGTTCATCTTTGCACTTTTTATTCCAGATATATTATGCACATTATAAACAAACTGAGTTCAGTTACAATCGTAACAACAACGAGCCCGGACCTCCAGGAACCTTTAAATAAATTCTTTGAACCTCAGGTTTTCTGCACCTTCAGTAAACCATCACAGAAAATCACACCCACACCGTTTCAATGTTTGGTTTGCATTTCAAAAACAAAGACAAGCAGATACATTTCTCAGCAAATCTAACCTCTGACCCGATGTTACAACAGCTTCTGCGCCTACGTTTTGTTTCAGATAACGGAATTTGATCCTGTGACCTCTGAGCGATAAATCACCGTTAGCTTCTCTGATGTCAGGTTCACACTTTGAGCATTTCCAAAGACGACGAGAGGAACAGAGGAGCCAACAGGGAGAAACATCGTCAGGATGACGGGTTCACAAAGGCACAAGGTCTGAATTTACAACTGAAACCTTTTAATTGGTCAATGTCAATAATGGCGCTAGTGCTCCAGCTCAGACAACAAGAGGCACAAGTATACAAAAGCCATCAGGTTTTCCAGCCACAACTCACTCTGTCTTTGTCGTCAGCCACGTCACAGAGCACATCGTCCAGGTCGAGGATCCCGCCGTCGCCGTGCTCCAGTCGGTGGACCTGCAGCCAGTAGTTTGCATCCTGTTAAAAAGGAAGACAACAAACAAAAGGTGGTGAATAAACTCAATAATTACCATTCGTATTAATTTATTTAAAACTAAAACCAAAAATAGATTCAACTTCCTATGCATTTTTCAGGTTAAATTTCAATTTGCAATTCAAATCGAGTTCTCTCTCCCTTGGATATTTTTACTTTTTCATAAAATGGACAAATACTGATGGATGGACGGACAAATGATAAACTAACAGGGATGGATGGACAGATGGATGAATAACAGAACCGTGAATGAACTTTGGAAATATTTATGAACTTTTCTCCTCTTCCAATCACATATAAAATAAAAACACATTTCCAGTCCGATCAGGAACATCTTGAACTTTAGAAACTTCTGACACAAACAGGTGAACGTCTTCAAACAAGAACAAGCATAACAGGATGGACTGATGGATGAAAGCGTAACTGGTACAAGAACTTAATCATCCTCTAAAAACATCACGGTGACTGAAATACAGAGTTTATCAGGGAAAATGTACTTTAACATGACATTCATCTTCCCCAGACGTCACTGATGTTCACTGAGGCCTCAATTCTCATCAGAGCTTGACGGGACTCCACTCACAGCTACTGCACAGATAGATTTCCACAGACAATGTTTTGACAGTTAGAAATGCAAAAAGACCGGAAATAAAGATTGTTTTTATCAATATATTGGTAGGAAAAACTTCAGATATGAATCTGAAGCAGAAATGATCAATAAATGGTTGACTTAAAAAAGGATTTACAATGATTGCACAATCAAGAATGTTTATCCAAGGGTTTTGATATGCAAAATTTAAACCTTTGTGTAATCACTAATGAGAACAAACAAGGTCTCGCCCTGGTTATGTTCATTTGTGTTTGGCTACAGAGTGTGCAGCATGTGGGCATCAGTCATGGCAGGTACAGCTTTGCTAAACACACAACCAACAGATGAGAAAGACGAGCAAAGAGGCAGAAAAAACATGAATACGACGACGCTGCTTTTGATCAGCATGAGGGGATTCACATGAAGGTTGTTCAACAACATCTTGCTGATAAAATGGGACAATAAATCCTTTTAGTGAGACTTTCATTTATTCTTAAAATCAGAAACAGTCAGCAGATTGGTCAAAAAGACTTATGTTCCTGTTAGGTTTTAAAAAGTCTGCAAATACATGCAGGGTCCATCAAGTCTAAATTTAACAGCATGAAATTTGTTTTTTTTTCTTTCTATATTGTGAATAAAGTGCCAAATTTGATGAGCATTCTTCAAATTATTTTTCTAATATTTGCCTTTAGGATCCACCAGTTGAATTATAATTCAGCCTGTGATCGTCCCAGTAAAAAAAGTATTTTTTCTAAACTTCAGAACCGGATCACCGCAGTACATTCAACTCAAGATCTCTTGGCACCAGGCGTAAAACATGAATAAAACTTCTACAATTTAAGTTTTATTCATAATGTACATAATGCATTGCAAGTTAAGTAATAATGGAAGCCCCCAAATGTGGTTTGATTTTAAAGTTGTGCATTCAAAACAGACTAGAGTCACAAGATCTTAAGACAAAGAAAGCCAAGGAAAATCAAAGCACAACTAGTAACGATGCTTCAGCCATTGTTTATGTCCACATTTACCACATGTGGCTTCTTCTAGTGCAGAATTATGCATAAAAATAGAATAAAATAAGACATGCCCTTTCAGATTGCAGAAGCTTTGAAAACTACGTACACGTATTTGATTTTGTGCAACGAATCAAATTTTTTGGAGATGAAAAGATCAGAATCATGTTGCCCAAACTGCCTTTAAGAAGTCGAACATGGGACACATTCGTCTGCTGTGTGAATTTAGTCTAAAAGCAAAAAATTTCAAAGGAGTCACCGTTCAAACAAACAGGATGAGAAGTCCTTTTGTGCATCTGGAACACAGCAAAGCGAAATCTGCCATAAAGTTAAGTAGAAACGGTTTGCATTAAATCAGAGTAGCCCAATCCCAGATACCACTTTGTAACTTTTTAAGGAATCATTTCTCCAACACACCTGAGTTTCCTCACCAGCAGTTCACCCAGCTCTGCAGAGGCTTGGTAACGAGACATTCGTGTGGCTCAGGTGTGTGTTGGAGACAGGGTTACCAAATCTGACTGCTAGTTTCCAGCCCAAATACACACAGTGACACTTTATTAACCAGAGACTATTAATCAATGATGATGTCATGTTCGACAGATTCTTACGACTGCATTGTTCAAAAGTCAAACATTTTCAACTTTTAAAACGCAGAAATTTCTAAGTTTAATTTCTGAAACTGATCTAAAGCTCTGAGTTTTTCTTGCAGATTAACTCCTGTTTTCTCCCTGCAGTAACCCGAATACGTTGTAATATAAAACGAGTACAAGGACACAGCATTTGAATTTAATTTTCCCCATCAACACTTTCTGAAAACGCACCAAATGTGAAAAGCAACAACCAGCCCTTTTTTCAAACCTCTCCAAACGCAGCTCAATTGTGGAGAAACTCACCCAATCTGGCAACACTGGCTGGAGAAGGGATGCATCTAAAAGTTGTAAGATCTCCAGGAGTGTGCTTGAACATTGCTGCCTTAAAGCTTTCAGAGCTGCAAACATGTTCTATACCAAGAACCCTATTGTTGTTTTGGTTTCAACCAATAAAAGATTGAATTCTCTTTCCACATTGTGCGAATCCTATGTGAAGTTTATTCTGTTTACAGGGCCACATCAAACACATGTAAATATGCATGTGTGTGTGAGTGTCATTATGCAAGGCCAAGTTCATTGTGCAAAAATAGCTCACAGCAAATTCCCCATGACCAACTGCAAACAGAGGACACAGAGTAAACAAGTCAAAAAGCCTGACAGAGATGGAAAAATGAGTCGCACCGACAAAACAGAGTTTCTGCTGACGTGGGTCAGCGTGGAAATAACACACGTCACATACCCACAATCTCACTCTCGCCTGTTCCATTTGGTAGCTAATAGAGATTTACACACAGCCCTCGTCTGAAGGGGACATTAAACGACGAAGGACAGATCTGGAGCTGGATCACAAGAGCCGTCGCCTATTGTAGCGCTCATCTGTCCGACAGCAGACCTGGAAGGAGGCCAAAGGCAGGCGCTGGGACAGTCGGCGGGAAGCCTGAATTCTGATTTAAGGCAGACAAACCGGCCTGCAGAGCTTGCTGTGCAAAAAAAGGACCACGCAGCCAACATGTCATTAAAATGTGCCATCTACTGTACAGGAATGAAAATTCAGGAAACAATAGTCAGCTCATTATAGCTTAAAAGTGCAGACTGGAAACAAGTCATTCCAATAACAACATATAGTTTTGTGTTGTTGTAAAAATGTAAGCATTAGCAACAGAAACATCAAAGAGGAGCGAAATATGACTCACAATAAGATGAATATTAAATGTATGAATCATGAGGAAAGAATATTATGTGGAAATATTGACATTAGCCAGGAAGCTGAAGCTTTGGAACAACTGGGATTTCTGGAAGTGGAAAATGACCCTAATTATATTCCTAAATGACCATTGAATGACCATCACTAAGCTCTGATTGAATTATCTTCAGAGTGTTTTCACACTCTGATAGTTTCAGTTTGTTTGTTGTGTCAAACAAACCAAAACCCTTTGAGCAACCTGTTCCCCTCCTCGCCTGCGGGGGCGCTGCACCAAGGACCGCTGAAGGAAATGACATGAAAGCTTCTGAAAAAGTCACTGAGCACAATTTCCTTCCTCACAAAATGCAACCAAGACGGAGTAAAGTTAGATTTAGTTAGATGGAAATGTCTACCGGAAGCCATTTCTCCCGCTAGTGCTAGCATTTGTTTTGGTTGTATTTACCCAGAATGCACTGCACTACTGTCAACTTTTTGGTCATTATCGCTCTAATGTTCTTTCAGCAAATAACCTTTTTAAGAGTTTGTATTACTCCAATTAATGATTAATAGACTAAAATAAATGATTTCAAAAATCTATTAATCACAATTAGTTGATTAATCATTTCACCTCTAGATTAAATGCATAATATTAATAATTTTGGATATCACAACATTACACTTTGTCTAGGATTTAAGGGAAATTCATAGAAATCTTCTTTGCATCAGGCTTTTCAAACCAAAACACCTCAGAAACCCAACAGAACAGAACTTAAGAAGAACTCCTGATTTGAAGCACAACACCGTTTCCCAGCACCGTAAACACAGCGCAAACGTGGCAACAACACTTGTGACCCATTCTGGCCACTTTCAGAACCTGAAAGGGTCTGTTACCACCTGCTACGCTGCTGTGAGAAAACATAAAGAGTGAAATGTCTCTGGAGGACCAGATCCCGGACGTGGAGTCCGGTGAAAGCGACAACGAAGTTCAGCAGAACCAGAACCCTGGAGACCGTGAGGAGGATCCCAACAGTATCTTCAACAATCTCACCTCATTCCAGGACATTTACACAAACAACCAAATAATCGACAACGAGGTAAGGCAGAGAACAGGGGTGCACCGATTGCAGTTTTACGGCTGATCGAGGATTTAAAATGCTTGATAATGGCAGAAACTGACTTTTTTTGGTCTGAAATGTAGCGAAATTGTTCTTGATGTCACATGTGCAAAGTCCGACCCCCAGCTCCCTGCTGCAGGGCAAAACATTGATCACTGACGATGACTCGCATTGGTTTCAGTCAAGTTGCAAACATATGATGCTAAATCTTAAATGTACGTGTGATATATATAAAAGGAAAACGGATGCAGTGCTTTGTTATTAATTGTCAACACTATGATAAATATATGTCAGAATAGGTCAGTTTTGCTCGCGTGGTTTTTAGTGTTGAATCCTGATACACTAGCGGAGCTGCTGTCAGTCTGTTGCTACGGCAACCAGTCTCTGTGTGTGTGTGTGTGTGTGTGTGTGTGTGTGTGTTGTATGGCAGACGACAGAGAGAGTGAGAAGAAAAAAAATGCTCAAAAGTGGTTTTGAGTTGCTCAACGTTTTTT